TTTTTTTTTAAATTATGCCAACAATAGGATATAATTTTTTCTAAATTTAGCCAGTAGAAATTCAACCTTAATTATTTCTGATAAATCGCATTTCATTACAATCTGCTTCACATCACCACCTGCATTTACATAGCTTCTCTTGTTATCTCATAAAAAAAATACTGTGTAATCAATTCTAGTGAAAAACAAATTAAAAAACCAATCAAGTTATGTAGCAGTCACTAAAAGCTACCAACACAATATAATGTTTGATACTTAATAAAAGGAATAGTGTTCAACAAGAATTTCCCTTCAAATTCTACTACTAACATTATAAGTTATCTCAGGCTGTTTCTAAAATCTGTACTTTCAATTTTTACATGAATTATAAATAAAAAAATAAAAACAAAATAGACAATACAGTGGAAGGTGGAAGTAAATCATCAATGATTACCAGCTGAAAAGGCACGTGGTGAGCTGCTCTCCACCAGAACGCATTTAACATCCTGATTGGTTTCCCACTGATCAAGAAAATCTTTGTATTTAAGGTCCATTCCTGCAATTGAACAAAGATCCATCAAAAACCATCTTATTTCCATGAATGACAAGCACATATGTCCAGTTAAACAGAAAGAACAATGCTACAATCCCCAAATAGATCCACACCAAAAATAAGACCATATCAAATTTGTTAACTGTAAAAATTTTAATCTCTTCTAGACATTTTTAGCATATATAACATTTTGATGCATATAGAAGGTGTTTTATTCAAATATAAGATATTTTACTTGGAAATTTTTTTTTATGAAATATGAGATTTACTAGGTATATGTTTTTACATAAATAAAAGATTTATAAGATAAAAAGTTTTCCCCCCTAATATAACACACTTTATTCAAAGATAAGTCTATTAACAAAGACATTATGTTCTATCAGATATGAAAATTTTTATTTAGATATAAGATGTTTTACTTGGACATAGTATGTTTGAACCAGATTTGGGAATCTTTGATCCTTAGCTAAGAAATACAAAATATTTGTATGCTAACTAAAAGAAAATTGCTTTGTATTGCAAAATGGAACTCAAACTCATTTTTTTGTCCATGGACAAAATTGCTTGGTATTATATTTCTGATCAAATATCACTCTGGAGCTCCTAATGCAATTTTTTTTTTTCTAGATTTATTTGAGGAGAATAACATTATTCGAAGAGAAATAACACCTGAACTACAAGCGGACTAACAGCTTCACAAATCTCAATCAGGAACACAACATCTCCAATCGGATCCCCCAAACCAAGATCTCACCCTCCGCCTTTTCATGACAGAAACAAGTTCAAGCATACCGATTTACTTAAGCATCCGTCCAAACACAAATTAATTTGTATGCATTAGACGAATAATTCGGTAAACCAGCCACAGATCTCGAAAAAAAACTAAAATACGTAAATGCTATGACTGTTTTTACTGATTTGCTGGAACGAATACTGAACAAATAACGGAAATAAAAACAACAGGTGAAAGTAAAAAAGAAAGAACCAACAAAACCTAAATTCATTGCATTGAGGGCTTTAGGGCGATCGAGCGTGATGACAGCAACGCCATTGGGGAATATAGTTCCCTTGACGAAATCCTCCGCATCGTTAGCCATAGAAGAGAGAGAGCGGGAAGGATAGGAGACTTTGGGGAGAATGGAGCTGGGGTTTAAAGGGCGAAGGATTGCCGAGAGAGGGGGTGGTAGGTGGGCAAGCGGCGTCAATATCGTAAGCGACCGGGAAACGATTTGCATGTTGACTTGAGGGAGATCGAGGAGGAAATACTGTTTTATTTTTTTTTTCCCACGAATGGTGGAAAAATTAAATAAAATATATTCAGGGAGCAGTTTGATGTACTGCAGAGTGAAGTCGGAGGCCACAGGCGGCGCCAGCCAATGGAGGCGGTGGAGGTGGAGGTGGCGGCGGCGGATGGTGGCCAACAGCGGAAGTGGCGAGCTGCGGCCGGTGGCCAGCAGCAAGTGGCCGACTGTGAAACCCTTGAAAAAATAATATAAACTCCTAAATATACAGTTGTCTTTTAATTAACAGTTGTAATTTTATTAAACATTAAGTTATTTGATTGACTGAAAAAACAAAAAAGAATGCAATTTAAAATTAAAATGTACAGAAAATATTGAGTTATTTGAATGAGTATAAAATGAATAAATTAGATTATTTTTTATTTGATTTGAAATAAAATGAATGTAAAGTTCAAAGAAAGTGATGATTCATGGTCATTGATGGTGGTATCGGTGATGGGTGACGGCGGCATATAATGGTGGTCGATGGCAGTGAATGCAATGGTAGTTGGTGATCGATGGTGACAGTGATTGGCTGGCAATGGTGGCAGTTTAAGGTGTTTGGTGGCGACGGTTGGTAGTGACAATTGGTGGTGGCTGGCGGTGGCCGACAACGGCAGTTAGTAGCCCGCGATGGTGGCGGGCGTCAATTGCGGTGGTGGCCAACAGGGTGTTCGAAGGCGGGCAGTGGCTAACAATGGCTATGGCGGCTGGCGATGGGCGATGGGAATGAGAATGAATTTATAGTGTGCTCATGCGAAATTTCAAATACACAAAAAAATGAACTAGATTGTAAGTTCCAAATGCACTAAACTTTAAATTGCATTTGTTTCAAATCAAACACAAATATTCTCAAAACCCTTGCATTTGAAATATTTTACATCCATTTTAATTCAAAAACAAATAGTCCCTAAGGTTAAACATGCTAATATAATAGCATTTTTTAGATGGGTGATTTTATAGAAAGCTACATCAATGGGATAAAAATGTAAGGCCCAAAATGAACAATACCTCGATTGTTAAGAATTTGGACTTTTACATATGATATCAGAGTAGTAAATCAAACTAAAGATGTGAAATATCCTATTTGAGTGATGGATAATTCTAGGCTAAGGAAATTAATTAGGATGTCAATTATCTAAGTGAGAGAGATTACGCAGCTTTTGAGAAAAATAAAGTTAAACTTTTGAATATAAAGGCGCCTGTTAGTGTAATAGTTAGAATTTTATTAGAAACTTCAAAGTTAAATGTGCTTGTATAAGAGTATTCTCGGAATGAGTGACCTCCTGAAAAATTTACACTAGTTGGATAAAACCGTGATGTCATTATGCTAAAGCAGATAATATCTACATTCTTTGAAGTTTGGGTCATTACACCGGCAGCGGAGAAAATGATTGTGAGACCTCGTTCCCTTACTGTTCCTCTCTGACTTGGATTTTCCTCCCAGGATCGTCCGGTCTCTGGATGACTATATTGATACGAACGAGAAACAAGATGAAAAGACTGATAGAAAAAAGAAAAGAAAAGAGATAAGAGAGATAGATGAATCCTTTCACTATTGATATCTAGGGCATCACAATGATGATGTCTGGCAATAACAAGCTACATGCGACAATGATAGACAATTTTAAATACATATAAATTAATCAAATCTAACAATTTCTAAATAGATCAAAATTGAACTAGAGGGTGAATTCGAAATATTTTCAAAATCCTTTAGAATAAGATTTTATTTGAGACAATTTTTTATCACTGTTTTTTCGTTATTTTTATGAATTTCTTTTTACTGCTATAAAAAAAAAATCTTAGTCATAAGATGATCTTTTTTTTATCTTAAATTATATTATATTGTATTATTGTTTAGTTCTCCATTATCTTCTTCCTCTTCTCATTTGGATGATGTTGTGTAAAGAGATTATTACGTGCGGAGATTGGACATAAAGAACCATTTGATTTTATCTAAATCGTTTAGATTGCAAAAATTGTAAAGTTATTCCGAGTGAAAATTTATGTACCCAACATCGATTATTAGTTTTAGACTATAAGATAAAGGGGCATAAAATAAAAAATAAAGTAAAACGATTTTCTAGGATTAGATGGGGGCATTTAAAGAATATTAACAAAAATATTTTTGAGAGTAAGATTTTAGATCTTAAGATTTTGTCTGTGCATTTTTGTTGTTGTAAATAGTAAAAATGCATTAAAAGTGTGGCAGTGAACATTAAAAGTACGATAATGAATATTAACTATGATTTTATTGTTCATATAGATAAAATCGAACAGTTAAACATAATAATTTCTCTTTTTTCTAAAACTTTACTATTTATAGTGGAATGATAATTTTTTAAAGTGGTTCAGCATGACTAATCGCAGTTATCCTTTTGGACTCTGACAGCTCGGGAAAACATTGGGATAGCTAAATTTTGTCGTGATACAGCTCTCCTTGGCCTATTGATTGAGAGCTAAGGCTTCCAACTAAGAGGTCTAGTGTTCGAGTTTATGTGTATGCATTGTGTGTGTGAATTTGCTTTAAATAGCCTAAATGTCCAAAAAAAATTGTTGTGCTTCTTTTCTGAGTTTGATTGCCAATTTGAAGTTGACCTAATGGTTGGTCTTTTATTTATTTATTTTTTTTCATATTTATTTTTTCTCAAGGCACATTTTTTTAGAAGAATGAAAGCGTTTATGGTAAAATATGATTGAAATTTACATTCACAACCTCATATGCTTTAGAGGAATTCTTAAAGCCAAATATTAATTCTTCAGATTTGTCGTTTTTGGAGAAACACCTTTGAATAATGAAGAACATTATAGATATGAGGATAAAGCTTCGTTTGGGAGATCTTTAGACCACTAATTTTTTTTCCTATTTAAAAAAAAAATCATACTAAAAAACAACTTTACAAAATAGTAAGAAAGTCATCTGAAACAAAGTCTAACATTATTGTGTTAACTTAGCTTTTTCGGTTGACAAAAGCAGCTTTCCGTCACAAAATTTTTAAAACAATAATGAGAAAGCAGCAGGAAAATAGTAACCAAACGATATTACAGTTGCTACGAAAAAATTATCCCAAACAAGACCCCTACTATAAATTCATTGCAATACAAAGTAGAACATGTTCCAGATACTACATCTACAACCTATTTTTCACATGAATCAAAGTTAATTTTTCATAAGAGAGATTGCCTTTGTCTATGATCAGCTTTCATTATTCTTGTCTGTGTCACAACTTCAGAGTCTTTCATAACCAGCTAGCTTTCCAACCAAAGCTATATCAGGGTGTTTAAAGCCTCAAATTGCTCATAAAGCGTATAACATTTCTCATACAATAAAGTTGTTTCAAACTTCTGTATTGTCTTGAAGCATTAAAAGCTAAAAAGAGATGAAACTAAGGCTTCATTTGGATGACTTTCTTATTGCTTTTTAAAGTATTTCAAATGAAGCCTAAGGCTTTGTTTGGGATGACTTTCTTAAAGCAGTTTTTTAGTACAAAAATTTTAATTCTTGTACTAAAAAAGTTGTTTTAAGAAGCAGTAAGAAAGTCATCCCAAACGAAACCTAAAACAATACAGCTTTCACTGCAGCCATGCCCGTGAAAATAACAGACTGCAGAAACCACGAATTGAATTTATATTGACGGAGAAGAATGTCTTGAATGGCCATCAAAATAACGAATGCTCTAAGACATAACAAATCTTCTAGAGAAGAATGTCTTGTAAGGCCATCAAAATAATGAATGCTAAAAGAAGATGGCAAATCTTGTAGCAAAGAAGAGAATGGATTCTGAGAAGCCATGATAAAGTTATTGTCTGACCTTCAAGCACTTCGCTATGACCTTTGCCAACTTGCCGTAGGTATGCTGCTTGAGATAAGCTTCCTGCACTCTCTGCCTCCCATGCATTCCCATCTTCTTCCTCACTGATGGATTGTTTATGAAATACCGGATACTCTGTGCAAGGGCCTTGCTTCCTTCATGGCCAACGGGATGGAGGAGGCCTGTTACCTTGTCTTTGACGATTTCCCTGGTACCTCCCGCATCAGTTCCAAGGACCTAGAGCAGAATTGTAACAGAATTCTATTAGATAAACTTTTTTTGTTGGCCTTATAACAATACAGAAAGATTTAGGCTTCATTTGGGACGGCTTTCTTGTTGCTTCTTAAAATAACTTTTTCGTATAAAAGTTAAAAGTTTTATACTAAAAAACTGTTTTAAGAAGCAGGAATTCGTCCCAAGGCTTCGTTTGGGACGGCTTTCTTTATGCTTCTTAAAGCGACTCTTTAGTACAAAAAATTTAAATTTTAACTAAAAACCCGTTAGTAGTAAGAAAGCCTTCCCAAACGAAGGATACTAGGGAAGCGAAGCCTTAGTATCTGCAATACCATAATGAGAATTTTGAAGTTATTTAATAATGGATGTCATTATCACAAGTTCAAGAGTAATCAGATATCAGAAATATAGAAATGTTTAGTTATTAATACCGGCAAGCCAAATGCCATAGCTTCGATTGTCACCCTTCCGAATGTTTCTCCAAGCCCCTGTATGCCATTTAAAAGAATTATTAGGGATCACTCTTTAAGGCAAATTCGACAACTAAAACAAATGTTATTTAGACTATAAAATCATTTGAATGTTCAAGTGATGTAACCAACGTTGCTTGTTTGAATCAGTATAATTGTCCATTGAAGTTGAGCTATCTCGACCATTGTTTTTAGTTTTTTAAGTGCGGGTCATTTGCATACCCGCTTTCTAGCTGTAGCAGAATTTGGCCTATATCTAGATAACAGTTTGGGTATTGAACTCAGACGTGAATAGCTGAAACTTTCCGGTGTTACCGAACAAAGCTAAACAGATAGCTATTATTAAAGATGACAACTTGAGATCGGGTTTGCGGCCGAGTGGTTGAGTGGTCGACGGAAGAAATTCCTCCCATCTCATCCGAGCTCGAATCCCTAACTGTCCCCAAAAAAAAAAAGATGACAACTTCACGATACAAAGTTGTGCATTTTCTAAATTTGATCATCAATGATAAAACATACTATGTAGTTCGTCCAACTACCCAACAATTACTATCAATAACTGCATCATACAACTCAATAAATAAAAATATATGATGTATATACACACACGCATGCACATTTACGTATATCATCATCCATATTTATATGTGTAAAAGAAAGAGAGCAAGTTGAGCTTCAGAAACCAAAATGTTGCAAACTATTGACAGGAAACCACAATATTTAAATTTGAAGATGTCATTGAATTGGGAAAACTAAAAAATGCATAAAAAAGTTTCAACATCAATAGTGGAATACTTTTTTCTATACCTTGATAGGGAATGAACCAAAGGGAGCCAAAATTGGCCAAATACAACATTGGTCAAACCCATTTTCAACTAAAAAATATAAGTTCTGATGGTGGCGACAAACTACTTAATATTTCTATACAAATTATTTTTTAACTCTAATGCAGGACTAAATACAAATATTCACATATCTTAACAATTCTCATTCAAAATTTGTAATCATGTTGATACCCATTACACATGATCCTCTCCCCAAACAAAACAACCGAACAAAACTTTCTTTCATTTCCTCAAAACCGCACGCAGGAAAACCGAACAGAAACAGCATGTAGAAGCCTAGAGGATCCCGCTTGCTCTTGACTTCCCGGTATCATGCGCAAGAACCCTTCACGCACGCAAACGCCTAAGCCAAGCCATAGCCCCTTCCCTCTATCCCTCTTTTTCACTTGATTCCGCACGCAGGAAGCCCGCATCCCCTCTCTCCGTCTCACTGTGACGAACCCTCCAACTCGTCTCGTGCTCACGTGCACGTCTTCGGCCTCCCGCAGTTCTGACTTGCCACTCCCGTCCCAACTTCGGCCCGTCTGCTCGAACTTGCTCCCTCTCGTTCGATCTTCACACACAACCTGAGACTCCAACACGAACCCATCGCCAAATCTCCAGCCTCCCACAGTTCTGACCCGCCGTTCCCATCCCACCTCTGATCCAACCGACTTTCCATCCACATGAGCCCGTAGCTTCATCCTAGCAAGGGAACAACCCCATGATCCGTCCAACCGGAGCCCACTTTCCATCTCACCATGTTGAACTCAATCACCCCAGACTCACGACCGTCTCCCTATTCTCAACGTCTTAGCCGTCCAACCTCACTCATGCATGTAGCCTCTGCCGTCATCGTTCAACTCAGTATATCGTTGCTCAATCACTCGACTTATCGGTCCTCAACCCATTTCCATCAGCGTCGCTTATTTTGCACTAAAATAAAATGTACAAACTTTTCTTTTGCTTACTTCAATGACATGTATCCAAAACCCGCGCCATAGTATCTTAGATCTAGCCAGTAAAAGAGCGAGAACACATGAAGACTTGCGTCTGTTGTATCTTTGATCCGGCTAAGAGAAATGAACATATGAAGACCTCGCGTCATCACATCTTTGATCTGGCTGGGATGAACAGAGGCAAGTGCTTACTCGACACCTCCTACACGAGAGGTGGGACACCGCAAAATTTTGAACGATAGATGACATTCACATAATTAAATTAAAAATGAATATTTTAACAAAAAAATGAATAAATGCATTAATTTTTTAATTCTAATTTTGGACCAAAATACTCGTCCTTTGCAAAGTCATATGATCATGATGATATTAAGACCAAATTATCTATATGCAATGAGGTAAAATTAATCTATAAGATGCACTTGCAGGATGCATGGACTAATTGAAAAGACATGAACAAATTATCATATTAACAATAGAAATTAAATGCATTCAGATGTCAAATATCATTACCATGAACTCAATTTATTGCAACAAGCAAGGTCTAATCTTATGACATAATTCACCCTCAATATGAAGATGAGATAATTAACTCGAGAGTACTAAAAGATTAAATGAATTTGCAATAACTAGTCGTTTTATAGATGCATACAATTTCCTAGGCATGATATGAGATTTGCAAATTAGTATTTTTTTAAGCTAATGATTATGGCCTTTAGAAGCAAATATTTGTAAGCATAGGTGTCATTTAAACGAAGTCTTTGATATTAAAACAACATAGCAACATCGAATAAGTGTTGAAGTGTCATTGAGTTTTTATGGACAATGAATTCTTCAGTGGCTATTTGGGTAGTGCACAATAAGAAAGCTTTGGCAGGCAATATGGGTTGTTGTGGTTGTGGTAAACAAAGATAGTGATGACTAGGCAAGCATTAAGAAGCAATGACATGATAGGAATCCAAACAGATCATATGTATCAATGTGGGTTTGTCTTCCTTAGATTGTAGCAGCGAGTATAGAAAGAAGGGGTTTGATTGGCTTGTTGTTGTGGTTAAGGAATCGAAAGTAGTCCTTCGCTTGTTTGTGGTAGGCAGGTCGACTTAAGCCAAAAGCAGGGGATGGATCGGTTGGGCGGATGGATGTGCCTACTTAATATCCGATAAGTTAGGGAAGTAGCGGCAGCTACTTCGTTATGATTTCTTTCTTTACTATCCGGTAAGTAGAGCTACTTCCTTTTTTCAAAACTCTATTTCTCTTTACGTAGATAAAAGATAGATTTTTCTATTCCCCCATGAGAAATTGTAGAAAAGGCATTTCTTTACTTCAATTCGGACAGGGTTAGGTTTTTTTACCGGATAGACATGATTGGAAGTTGATCATTGGAAAAGTAGAATAAAAGTTATGAAATATAAGATTAGGAATATGATGTAAAGTAGGTTGTGAGAAAGTACAACAATGAAATTATGTGAAGCTAAGGGACCATGAGGAGATCGTGACGGGCTAAGTTTCGTTTAGGAACAAGCATATTGGGGCAATGAAAATTTTGTAGAAAGAAGAATGTTACGAGTTAAAGAGAGTATGAGAGGTGACCAATATTATAAGTCAAGTCACGAGCTGCTAAGACATTAAAATATAAGATGCGAAGGCATTGCTAAAAGCACATACCCATCAATCACAAAGGTTTTTTCCTTCCAATTGATTACTTGCTATCCATGATCTTGTTAATTTAAATTAATTTATATGAAATATACTTGTGAGCCTCCTTAGGAAGATTTGATGTGTAAAATACATTATGCAAGAACCGTGCATGAAATGCAAGTATGAATGTATCATGTCAACATATCGGTCAAAAGGCAAATATATTATGCATAGGCAAATACAAATAGATCATGCAAGTGCAAAATGCAAAATATATTATGCATATTTGGCATATTTGCATAAGCATTAATCAAAGTGTTAAATTCGTTACACAAATAAACTAAAATTTTATTCCTCATGTGCTCCGATTTTTATGTCAATCTCCTAAATTCAAGATCCGAGAATGTTTTCCGGATTCGCTAAAAGTGTTCAAACACCCCTACAATAGTTTCAATCTATATGCTAAAATATATTCTGCATGTACTTCAATCTTTACATAAAGCTCTTAAATGCGATATCTGAGAATGTTTTGCGGATTTGCTAAAAGTGCTCAAACACTCTGAAAATAGACGTGTTGACGGAAAATTTTAATCGGAGAGAGCTATTTAATTTTCAAAATACCCCAAAATTCTGAAGTCATCCAATCAAAACCTAAAACTCAAATCCTATTAAAATTTAAACTCTTAAATAAAATCCATCACCAAAAACATAAAACCAAACTCATCCACACTGCGCAACGGGTTTGACGAGGATGATGAATTAGAAAATAACTTCAGCTCACAAAAAACAGATGTCTTATTGAATGTATTACTAAATTCATTCTCAATTTGCTAGCAGGGACGTGGCATGTGCCCTTTGATCGGGTGTTTTTGTGGCAAAATAACGCCACTATATAACGATCATGGCCAAAGCTCGTATGTTCCATAATGATTAAAAGTTCATTGAGTAATGAATTATAGGGTGCGCTCGATAAGATATAAAACCCTCTATCAGCTAAGATTGACTTAATTCACCACCTTAAATAAACATCCACCTCTAAGTTTACATGGTATTCTTGGACAAAGAACCCAATGATTGCCGATGCAAAATTTATTATGCATATTTGCATAAGCATTAATCAATGTGTTAAATTCGTTACACAAATACACTGAAAATACATTCCGCACGCGCTCCAATCTTTATCTCAAGCTCCTGAATGCAAGATATGAGAATGCTTTGCAGATTCACTAAAAGTGTTCAAGCACCCCTACAATAGCTCTGATCTATATGCTAAAATATATTTTGCATGTGCTTCAATCTTTACATAAAGCTCCTAAATATGAGATCTAAGAATGCTTTGCGGATTTGCTAAAAATGCTCAAACACTCCAACAATAAATGTGTTGACGGGAAATTTTAATCGGAGAGAGTTATTTAATTTTCAAAATTCCCCAAAATTCTAAAGTCATCCAGTTAAAACCTAAAACTCAAATCCGGAAACATTTCGTCAGGTTTAAGTAAGACGGCGGATTTTTGCCGGTAATTTCCGGCACATTTTCTGCCGGAAGGTTTTAGAAAAACCGCGGCTTTTCCGCCAGAAAACCCGCCACTAAGTTACCGGTGGAATATCCGCCGGTTACTCCGCAGCTACTACCGGCGAATATAATTCCGACGGTATACCATGTTTTCTTGTAGTCAAGGTGCAATGCAACATGAGCACGGCAAGTGTGTGAGTTGGTCAGGTTGGAGGCATGATATGAGATTAAGCATGAAGCGAGATTGAGGTAAGGAGGAATTGGTTATAGGCAGGGGGAGGAGAGATTTCAAGTATAGGAAAGGGATAGCTAGTGTAAGATTTTCCTCATCCTGATACCATTATGGGGAGAAATAAGGTTTTGTATCATATTCCTTAGAAAGCCCTTCAATTTATAATGGGGGAATGACTATAATGTTCTAGGAGACATATAAACAAACATAAACTAATCTCCAATATAAAGAACTTTATATTTTAGTGTTCCCTTATGCTAACAAACATAATTAACTTCTCATTAAAGCATGCACCTGATGATTTTCTAAACTTAAAACACTACTAATTCCTACTCCTGAAGCATCATAGGATAACTTGGAAAGCCTTTACAAAATCAAGAAGCCTGAGAGAAGGGATACAATTGTCCTAACTTTGATAATACAAAGGCTTTTACAACGACAGGAATCCACTTGAATGTTTTGCTTCAATGTGTCCAATAAAGAAGTAGAAATGAAATAGAAGCCTCTAATAAATCGACAATAAAAGTAGCTAATTAATGAAAATTTTGGATATAAAAAATGGATTACGATTGAGACCAGGTAATAATAGCCTCAACATTTTGTAGATCAGCTTCCAATCCTCCAAAAGAAACCACACAACTGAAAGTTTAGAGGAAAGTAAACTTTTTAAAGTTAATATGTAACTATTTCCATCTATGTTTCTTCAAAACAAGTTATAGATGAATAAGATGCTATGCCTTGCATAAATTATAAATTAGGGCATCGTCAATATAAATAACTAAAAATTTACCAATAAATCGTCAATGAACTTATTCATAATCTTCATGAAAGTACTAAAAATACTGGATAAAACAAATGCTGGCATCATCAAACATTCATACGTGCTATAAAGTTCTTTAAAAAGTTGTCTTTCACTCATCTCTAGGACAAGTATAGATCTAATGGTAACCACTTCAAAAATCAAACGTCATCTAATTATGGAATCAGAAACATATATCTAACTATAATTTTGTTGAAAGCTCGCCTATGAACCATCTTTCTTAGGAGTGAGTAAAGCAAGTATAACACAAGAACTCAAACTTTCATGTATAAATTTTTTTCATATGAGTTTATTAACTTGTCATTTCAACTCAGCATATTCTTTCAGGTTCATATTATGGTAAACATGATTTCATCTTTTTTGGGAGTGAGTAAAGCAAATATAACACAAGAACTCAAACTTTCACGTATAAATCTTTTTCATATGAGCTCATTAACTTATCATTTTAACTCAGCATATTCTTTCAGGTTAATCCTATAGTGAACCCTAAACTAGCTCAACTATATGTTGTATGTCACACATTGGGGGTAACTTATCAAGGGATTCCTCTAGCATCATATCTTAAAAATATATAAAAAATTTAGAAATTTTAGCATGTATAAGTTGCTCATTAGTCACAGCAGTGACCTTTTTGGTGATTAGGTGCATGATAATACCAGAATAATGGCTTTCTTTTCAATATACTTTTTTATTTGGATTTGTAAACTACCTTACCCTTTAACTTGAGATTAAAACTATTTCCTTAAGACTAAGATTTTATTTCTTCTTATAAGCTTAGAAGGAATGAGTTTAACGGTAACACTCTTATGCTTCAACAAATAAGTATTTTCCCGTTTGTACCATCCTAAATTTTGATCATGTAACCAAGGTCTACAAAGGAAAATGTGTCTCTTCCATTAATATCATATCTTATCCTTATAGCTACCTCATTAGATAATTACTAAATATCTTTCAACTATAAGCAACTTAGTTTTATTAGCCCAAACTACATTAAAAGGCCTTGGGTGAGCTCGGGTATGAGCTTAGCCCTTAAGTCCTTAAAAATGTGGTTTTTTTAAACAACGTTCGTAGTACTACTGCAACCAATTACAACCTTACAATTTTTGTATTGGCAAGTAGCACATATATGAAAGAAGTTTGACCTTTTCCAATCTTATGTTGTAACTTGGGTTGATATCATGGTCAGCAATACGTAAGATGCATGGTGGAGGAGGGATCCTGGTGAACGAGCATCAAATGAGTAGCAAGCTAGGACATGAGATGCGCAATGGCCTCTTGGTCTGCTGCAAGCCCACAATACCCATTTACTTTGTAGTTCACAACAACTCTTGATCTAATAGGCACTATCGCCATCAAAACACCAATTGCAAGCCAACACTATAACCGTCAACATCCTCACAATAACTTTGACAGTCTATTCTACAACATTATACTAATGCCCTATCTAATTGGTGAAGGGTAATATCTTGTACTTCATTCAAAAAAAGTGCACATTGTTCACTTAGATAAAGCTCTATGTTTTTCACTATTCAAGAATTCAATGTAAAAAAGTGTACATTTTTTTTCTCTGCTTCATTTACCTGATTATATGTCTGAGATAGAAAAAAAAGGCAAGGTAATTGAAATCAATGCTCGCTATCTAGGCAAATTTTTGCACACATTTGCTATTAAGATGCTAGCATAATTTTTCAAATTCAATCAATCTGTTTGATTTAACTTTCGCAGACATGTTCTATTATTGATTATTTAGATTATTAATGTTTGATTAAGCATTGGAAGTTCAGTGCACCTGTGGACCTGTTGTGAGATAACCCTTTATTATTATCCTGTTTATAAAATACTTTATTGCTAAAGAGGCAGTGAAAGACGATGCTTTGACCTCTCAAGGTGTCATCCGATTAGGATTACATCTAGATATCACTATTTCAAGACAGATTTCATTTGAATAATTGTTCTGTTCGGATGTTAGAATCTAAATAGTTGATATTTTATAGGGGTTGTTTAGTTGCCTGAAAAAAGAATGCAATGTAAAATGAATACAATATAAAAGGAATACTTTGGAGTTGTTTGAATGAGTACAAAAGGAATGCATGACTTTACTTTTTTTTTGTTTGATTTTTTAAAGTAAAGTGAATGCAATGTAAAGTGTAAAAAAATTGTGTCTGGGGTGGTCGGTGGTGACGGCCGTGTAAACGATTCTCGCTCAAAACAAGGGGAGAACGATTTACCTAAAAAATGAACTAAGAGTGAAATACACTGCATTTACTTAACTTTATGGATTTGTTTTCATCCAACCAAACACCAAACTTTTCAAAACCCCTGCATTCGCTTTATTTTACACTTACTTTGCTTCCAACCAAACAACCCCACAATGATATGACATTCCATTAATATCTGTGAAATAAAACAGTCCCCTACATACTTATTAACTCCACATGATAATATTGACAGAAGATGCCATGGCTATCAGCTATTCAGAGTACAGAGTAAACCTCCTTTAATATTTAAGATATTCATATTTACCTGAAAAGGACACATCAATTATTAAAAAAAGATGCACATATAAGAATTACCTGAGCATTTATTACATAGACATCAGCTGCCGCATAAAGAGACGCAACATGAGTAGTAGCTCGAGTCCACAAAACTAGTTTTGAAATTTTAGAATTTTGAGATAGAAATCTGAGCATTGCCTTAACATAGGGAGCTTTATTGCTTTTCGATCCAACAGAACCAACTAAAACTTTGAGAGACTCTTCTTCACTGCCAGAAGATTCAGAAAGTAAACTCCTTGTTTTTGGTAGATCTTGTTTTGCAGCCTTAGTTTGACTGTTTGAAGAAAGAATATTAGTTACTCTATACTCTTTTTTATTCCTCTTCTTTGAGTTAAGTTGCTGTACATTTTTAATTTGCTTGTTTGGCTGGCTGATGTTCGAATGCAGTGCTCCTGCTTGTTTCTCATTCTTTATGCTGGTCTTGTTTTGAAGAGAAACAACTGAAAATTCGTTCTCCAACATTATTGGATATCTCTGAGATACGTTACGTTCAGCTACTAAACGAGCTGCTTCAAACAGTAAAAGCTGTCCTTTAGCAGGATTTATGCTGCTTAAACTCATTACTAGCATATCATTATCAGACAATCCCATCTTTTTACGAACTTCACTTCTCAAGAGATCCCTTTTCTCCATCATTTTCTTAACTGTGAATACTGGAGTATTGAGGGAGCAGGGAATGCCTGCTAAAAATGCTAAATCATCGTTAACAGAAAGAGGCACCAACATTGGCTGTGCTTTCAGCTCAATCCTACCGTCTTCACACCAAGATAACCATTGCTTGGACTGCGTATCAGACAAAAAGATCAGTGTTTTCACTTTACTAAGCATATGCTTTGATCGGTTAAAATATTCCTGTCTGTTCTCCATGATCCACCAGACAAGTTGGCTTGATCCAGCAGGATTTCTTCTAAGGTATTGTTCTGAGAATAATAAAAAAACCATTATGGTCAACTCTACAGTTACTTCCACAACCAAATATTATTCCACAGGATCAAAAACAAGCCAAGTAATCACTTTTAAAGTAGTTTACTAATCCTTAATAAAAGAGAGGTGGAGAGGTTTCCACTTCATGACAAGATTCTTCAAAAATGCCTTGAGGCTTAAAAATGCTACAATAAATTAAAACATGGACAAGCTTCATTATTTTGCACATGATATGAAATGCAGGTATATTCTTCAACAGATTTGCTTTCTTACTTATTCAGTGAATCTGATTAAAATATCAAGCTTAAAATTTTAAATTTACAACTCAAAACAGAGAACAAATAAAAAGGATTTTATGACTTTCAACATCTTAGAACATGGTTGGCAATAAAAATTTTATGAATTTTGTTACCAGATTTTGCTTTTAAGGACAACAAAATCAATTACTAGATAGGATGCATAGACACGCCATGATATGGATGTGGGACATGTTAATGATTAAAAATATAATATACTGACACACATTGGACACTGCATTATAATTTTTTATATTTTTGAATTAAAAATAATGCATATAAATTAAACAAAATAAAAAAAAAATAAACTTCTAGAGTTATAGTAGTGCTAATTATTTTGTATTGCATAATACACATAAATATATATATATATATATATATAATAACAAATAACACAACTTAAACAAATAAAAGACAAAATCATAGCATGAAAATTAAAACTGTATATTTAAAAAAAAATATTATGATGTTTCGTTATGTAATAAACTTATAGAGTTGTAGTTGAAGACTATTTATTTACTTGGAAGATTCATCTTCATTCTCTTTGATTATTTAGTGCTCATTTGGAGGACCTCAGGCTTCACCATCGGAAGAAGAGGATATCAATCATCACCTCATTAGGCTTTGGGTCAGCTTTGGCATAGAGAGGGGAAAGGACGTATCACGTAAGCCATCGAACTTTGGAGTCGAGCTTTGCGTTGAGAGGGGAGAGGAAATTGGGAGACGAACATACAAGAGTCGAGCTTTGGAAGCCAGCAGATGGATGAGTATATCCGGTAATGTCTACCCAAATCCTAGTCAAGCATGTGAGAAAGAAAAGTTCGGGCAGGAAGATTTGCAAAAAAAAATGCTGAAGAGAGAGATGAAAAACAAAGAAAAAAAAATCCATAAAATTTAATAAAGTTTTTATAACTCAGGTGTCGAACACGCCATCTAATTTTTTGTTATTATTATTTTTTAATTTGACACATAACAACTATATCTGACATGTGTTAAGCATGTGTTGAAGCATAACATGTGTCTGGACACTGCATTACCCCTTATCATGAAGTGTCGGTGCATCGTAGGTTACTAGGCATTTGGTTGAGAGCAGACCATCTGTTAAGTCCACGGTTAAGTTTTTTTAAAGCAGAAAAAAAGTTATTTAATAAAGACAATTCAGGTTATTTTTCTAGAGAAGCTCTTTCCAAATATTATCTTCCCCTTATTTGCATGAATATTACATGCCTATCTCCCTGACAATGTTTACTTCAAACATTTATTAAATTTGGCTACTTAAGTATTTAACAAAATATCAATTAGCCTAATTTAATTATATATAACTAATAATTTGCCTTCAAAATGATTATACATAACTTAGCGTTTAAACATTAGTTAATTTTTACCCAGAGAAACTCAACGGAGAAACTTAACCGTTTTTACAGTTATTTGGCATAATAAGATTCAACTGAGAATTAATATGGGGGTAACAACTGTTATGGCTTGAAGACATTCTAATTCCGGATCGAATCCTGTGCAGGCATCTGGCAAGGGATTCTACAAGATCTCTTGGATGGGCTCTCACGTGGAGCCCCTAGGGATTCAAGTTGAATGGTGGCCCAGGTCAACCAAAAACAATTGGACCAAGCGACCAAATTTCTGTAGCGTTGAACAGCAATGTTTTTTGGTCCACTAATGACAACCTTACTATGATACCAAGATTAGGGTGCACCAGGTATTTTAACCATGGTTTGGGTGCAAATTCGATATTGTACCATGATTTCTCCTATTCGGCTATTCTGCAAGGGTTTTTAAGGATTGCTTTGTATTCTACCTACCTTTGAGAGCAACCCAAGAAATCAACTAGGGTTTGAATGCCGTTCAAGATATATAGAACTATATCTTCGGAGTCTATGGTAGAGCCGGTGGAGGCGATTTGGTCTACAAGCTTCTTGATCTCGGTAAGATACTGGATCATAGAGAGATTCTTCATGGATACAAGATGGAGCTCATTCTTGAGCTGAATCACCTTGGATCGGCTGGTTGCCTGAAACTGACTTTCAAGAACCTGCCAGATCTCGTGAGTGGTGTCAAGATGAAGAATGTATGGCAGCACCGTAAGAGATATCGTCGAGCATAGGGCTGCCTGAAGATTCTAGTCTATGATACGCCAGTTCTTGTGCGTTGATTCGGCGGAGAGATCAGACGAATCCTCTGAAGGAGTCGGCGGGGCAAGAAAATGGTCGAAATCATTTGCTCGAAGAAGTTTGAGGATCTGATGGCGCCAAATCGGATAGTTCTCCAATGACTGTTGATTTGGAACGAGCTTTTTCAGATTTGAGACCACAAATTTGAGGGACTAAGAGATGTGAGAGGTTTCTACCGGAACGCTGGATTGTTGGTCGGTGGCAGAGGAGGCGGAATGAGACGTTGCCATCTTTAGATCAGGGAGAGGAAGGAGAGGCCTGATACCATGTAGAAACTCAAGGCCAAGAAGAGTGACCCGAGAGACAGGGAAGAAGATGAATATGGAAACAGAAATAATATTCTATTATTCATCATTTCAATATGTACATAGAGTAGTATATATAGATGGATAAAGAGAAGGTAGGTACACGTGTAAAACATAGATAAGATAGAAATCAGAACTAGCAATAGGTTGCAAGGCTACTGTGCTAATAAATCCAATTAGAGTGCCTCACCTACACTTAAATTGTAACAAAATTCTACTTTATTGCTTTTGTCTGGTTTGGAATAGGAGGAAAGAGGATTTCGGTCAACTGAGGGTGAAATTATTTATACACTGTGTATACACTCACCGTCCGAACTATTCTTCCGTCCGGACTCCGCATAGAATAATTTCTATAACTGAGGACTAAAACTCTGTCTTTTTTTTAACTAAAGGCAAAATAGGCAAGGCAGGACCCCACTCATGATTCGATCTCGATCAGCGAGCTAGTGCATGCAATGGAGAGTACATCGACATCTACGACACAACTCTCCTTGGCCTATTAGTTCAGAGCTTAGGAGTGAGGACAGGCCTAGTTATTTTTGTGAAATAAATATTGAATCAGTATTAAAATTCATTAATGATTAGAGTCATTAACTATCCTTGTTTGAGAAATAAAAATAAAAGCTTAGGGAATCTTTGACTAAAACTAAAAAAATATTCTAGGGGCAAATTCCAGGGAGATGCTTTCAATTTCTTTTACCTAGAACAAAAAAAAAACTGAACAAAAATCATGGCATGCATGCACAAGGTAAACACAGGTGATACCATAGCTAATGTTCTGGCATAAAATAGGACAAACACATGGATCTCTTAAGTAGATAAGCAACTTACCAATCCAGGATGAACTGACAGCTGAACCGGCAATGACAAGGTCAGCTTTCATGGCAGCCTTGAAACTTAAGTCTGCTTTGTCCTCAATCATTTCGATTCCCCGTCGAGCAAGCTCCCACATCAACCCACCCTTCTTGCTGAGAGCCACCACCTTCACATTTCCTCCACAGCTCAAAATCTCTGTAGCCAGTTCCATCATTGAAAGGGGAGCCCCTGTCATGGAGAGCTCATGAAATACCAATACAAATGAACGTGTCCATACAATTCCCGCAAATTCACCTTCTCTGTCACATTTTCCTTTCCGCTTCTGAGGACTCAAGCCTACAATTCTATTCTCAGTTTCACCAAATGGCCCTACCATCAATCCAAATGAATTGTTTTTTGTTGGAATCACCACATCTTCAAACTCGCTGTCTGCGCTCTCCTCCACAGAAGGCTTCGGCTTCACCCTCCTCAACATCCTTCTACCCCTCTTTCGAGGAGAACTCTTTGCCAACCTTTCAGTAGGATCAGAAACCTTCTTTCCCTCTCCCTGTGCTTTCTCCTTCACCATCGAGGAGACGGCTTCAGATCCCAAAGATTTTGCTGTCTCCTCCTGAGGCTTGACACTACCAACCTCACTCTTGTACCCAACAAAGTCTGACTTCCTATGATCACCATGAGCCCACCTCGACTGCACATGAAACCCAACATAAGCCCACAGAGCAATCAAGATCAAACAAAACACAACTCGCTGGCTCCTGAGCCACTGAAGTCTATTTATGCCAGATCTGGAATCCCGCAGAGGGGTTCTACCGGAATGGAACCTTCGGAATGAAGGGGATTTCCTTGAACCTCTCCCCAGCGCAAGAATCGAGTACAGACCTAGCACATTTCCACGAAAATCACCATTTCCACCAGGTTCCTCCATGTTTACAAATCCAGTGTAAAGTTCATAGCCAGCGACTGCACAAAAAGAAGACAAGAGCTGCTTGGGAGCTTCTTGCAGAAAAAATACAGCAATTTAACGCTTGACTAAATAAAACCTCGCACTCTTCCGCTATCACAGTTTCCAAGGACCAACAACTAATTGAGAGAGCTACATAATCGCCAAGGGGAAACTGTTCTCAGCTGAGATTTCTAGAAACTATTGACGTTGTGCATTGCAAGATCAAGAAGATAACAAACCGATGAATTGATCTTCCTTTGCTCGAGTGCAAATCGATGCTGCGAAATCGAACCCTATCTTCGCGTGCACAGAAGCAAGATCGCATCAAATAATGCCAAAAAGTGACAGTAAAAGACGAATTCAATTTGCTAATCAGCGTAGAAGAGTGACGGACTGAGAGAGAATACACGGTTTGGGGAAATCGATTGGTTTTGCAAAGGTGGTACTGGTAATGAAATAAGGAGAGGAGATGAGTGACAATGGGGTTGAAAAACATTGAAACTATTTGGTGCTTTTTTTATGGCAAAATTTTCAAAATGAATTTATTGATAATTTTATTATTATTATTATTATTATAAGAGAATTAATCGCCTAATAATTAGGACTTCATTTGAAATCATATTATATTTTAATTTTATTAAATTTATTTTTAGCATAAAATAAAATACATTTGAAAACAAAAAAAAAATTATTTTTATTTTTTCTTGAATATTAAATAAAATGACTATTGCCAACAAAACAATGATGATGGTGATGGTCGTATGATAAGATGGTAGTCATAGTTGTCGACAGGGGTGGTAGCGATTGGTAGTGACTCCTGACGATAGTAGCATTAGCAGTTGATGGTGATGACATTTGATGATAATGGTGATGGTGGCAGTGGTTTCTAACGGTGGAGGTAATGGGCGTTAGTGATTATGGTAGCAACTGGTAGTGGCAAGTGATTTGAAAAACTCTCAAAATATCTTAAAATTATTTTGAATAATTTTCAAAACTATTTAATTTATTTTTAAAAATAAAAGGTAAACTTAGTTAAAACGTATAACAAATAATCCTACTTAAAAAGAAGAAGATAACTTTGATGCCAAGAGGTCTTAGGCAACTTAAGGAATACTAGTTCAAATTCAAAAGTGGGGAATGTAAATCTTATACAATTAATTGGACATTAATTTAGGTTAGAAACAAAAATCAAGTGTTTATAAAGTTAATTGTGATCAAGAAGTGCAACAAAAGTTAGGAAATGCGAGCAAACTATACTCTTATTTGCCCTAAAGTCAATTATGCCTAATCACAAAAATGATATGTTGGTAAACATAGTTATTAGTTACAAGTTCCTCAAATTGGTTGACCCTTTCTCAAGCTAATTGTTGATTAGAATGTATTAAATCAATGAAGATGATACATATCTTATAGCATGCGAGGGGGAGTTGTTATGAAGTAATGAATAATGATGTTAGGGTTCATGAATATAGGAGTTGCATAAAAAAACATGATAGACCAATAATGATTTATAATTAAAGCTTGAAAATAATAGTTGGCAATGTTTACATGAAATAAAGAAAATTAATCAGGATTGTTTTCTTCCTAATGGTATTGGGACATTTATTAGCTCATCATGCAATCTCATCAAGAATTTATCCTTAAATGGTTTCCAATCTTATGATGGCATTCCTGAGAGTTCATGGGGCTTTCAAGTGCTTCAATAACTTTGTGAAACCTTATTTAGGTTGACTTTGTGGCAAGTTGATTTAATAAATCGTTCGAGTATTTATTTTGGGAGATTGCTTCTAGGAGTAGGGGGATCACGATACAAGTACCTTATCTCAAGTGCTAATTTTTGGATTATTGATATTTGTGTATAGAATTAGGACTGGGTTGTAATTATGCGTAGCTCTGTTACATTTTTTTCTATTTTAACTGGGATTATATTTACAAGCTCAATCATACCCGACATTTGTTTATTCTTGCACCTAGGTGGATGTCTAGCATGCTAGGTAGTGGCAATCCAGATCTAGATATGATCATAAGTCCAAGTAGTTGTTGAACTGTCCTTTTTTTTTTTTCTTTAGGTATCCCTTATATCTCTAGGAATTATAAGTCCACATCTTTCCAAATCTACAAAGCAGAATCATCTATTTACATCTTCCTTAATTTGAGAGACTCCTATAGACGATGTAATTAATGGTTATTAACAAACTCTCTGAAAGACTTGTTTTATCGACTACCTTCTTGGTTAAGTGATGTCAATTTTAAAGACTTGAGATGTCGGATCCATGAAATTTTGATTAGGTCATTCTACCCTCACTTAGGTTCCTTACATATATTCATTACCCTTTTAAACTCATTCATTCCTCTTGAATTATGGTGGTTTGTGAATCACTATTGCATAGAAATTTCTCTTTGATAAGATGCTTTTCTAATAGTAATTAATAAATTTTGGTTTTTAAATGGGTGAAAGAAAATTGTATTGCTCTTGGTATTTACAACAAATGGATTTAAATGAATACATTAATAGTTATTAACCTCATTAAGAAATTCATTTTATATGCCCAAAAGAAAATTTTTACTTGTGGAATCTCTATAATTTATAATTTTCATTTTTCTTGAGAATGTAATTCTTATGTTGATTGTTTAGTCAATTATGGTGCTTTTTTAAGTTCTAGTATGAATTTGTGGGTTCTAATTGTTATAACCTAATCTAAATTGTCTACTAGACCCTTCCATGTGATTGTCCACTCCAACCTTGTGACAACCCTGATTTCAAACCCTCTCTTCAAGTGATAATGCTTCTGCCAATCGACATGAGATTCTCACTACCACTTTTTCCCTTCACAATCACACTCAAATCATGGTCGTCTTTATGGGCAATTTAAGGATAGCGTGTCATACGCCAAGTAAAAAATGTGGTACACCCCAACAACACATGATGTGATGAAGAGATTAGAAAACTAATTTTATACTTGCAAAAAATGCATATAAAAGTAATATATACATAATATATCAAAGTGAAATAATGGAAAAGAATATATATATATATATATATATATATCATTAATATATATTAGAATAAGAGTACATAAGCAAAGTTCAAATAACAATAAATTAAAAAAATTGAAAGAAACAACTGTAGAAATAAAACTATCCAAATATAAAATGAAATGCAAAAAGATTATTATAAAAAGATTAACTTATTAAATGTGATCCTAGTGTTAATAAATATGTTCCTATGGTGATGGTCCACCAAGTACTCTGGTAGAACCTATTATAAGAAAAGTTTATAATGATTGAGTTCAATAAATTAAACCCAGCAATTAACTCTTATTATTAGAATATAAACAACAAGAAAATGAGGGATGTAATATGAATGATAAAAATGTTAAGAGGGACTGCATAGTAGCAAATAATTGGTGCATTAATGTGTAAATGAAATATGTCATGATTCATAAGACATATTCTAGTATGATGATATTACAAATGTATATGTGAAAACATCATCAATGAATTTCATTAAGTGAATCAATATGCAATCAAGCAAAGTATGATCATACTTTTCAAAATATAATTTATTAGACATTCATCATTTTTAACTTATTTTTGTTGACCTCGCTTTTAGCTGAGGTCACTTGAACTTCAATCACCCTAAACAACCAACAATCATGTACCTCAATCATCTTGACAAACAACAGAATTGCATTACAATCAATCATTATCTATATCACTTCATTGGAAGCTCCACACATTAGAGTTGTTCATCACTAGACCTAATTAGGCTAGCCTAACCTAGCCTGATTAACTAAGCATCATACTTACCTACAATCAAACCCTAGATAACTCCTAAATTTCAATAAACTTCCATAAATATGACTCTCATTGAATTAAACATGATTGGTTACTTTGAACCAATCATCTGTTGACATGGTTAATTAAACCCAAGTTTGGTCAAACTAGGTCAATCTAGGTTTAACCCACTACATACACTCAAATTAAACTTTCTAATCCCTCAACATCACTTCACTGCATGCTTCAAGCACACTCAACCCCTCCATGAGTCAAGTCTTAGTGAGTTTGACTTGGTCAACTCACCAAGAGTGGTCAAAATCTTACATATATCTAGCCCTTCACTCAAACATCCAATCCTTTGCTTTAAACCCCTTTGGATCTATTCCAACAGCATGCAAAACCTTCCCAGCTCATCCCATCAGCCTTGACCAGTTGGCTATTCAAAAATCAACAAAACCTCCAAATAGGGTCAAATGGTTCAACTCCCACTAAATCCTTCATTTCCCTCCAAAACTTCTTGATTAAACCATTCAAATTAACCCTAAAGTTTACCTAAATATTCTCTCAGCTAATCACATCCATTGATTTGGCCTAAATCAGCTAGGTGAGCAAACCCAAGTCGTCTTCAAGCTTCGCAGCCACTCCTATTGTTCCCTAACCACCTGGGACAGGTGTAAACCATCTGAGAAACTCCTCTGATGCATCACATCCCTTGGATCAAACCCTATTGCATGGAATAGGGTAGAGGTCTCCAAACCCTCATTCCAACAATACTCTCTTTGCAATGCTTCTATATAACCTCTTTGATTTTGTTTTTCCTTCACACACACCCCTCCCTACATTTGCAAGGATTGAAGGTGGTCGAAAGCTTGTCCATCCAAGGTCTTCAAATAGCTTATCCAAGCAATCTCTTAGCTCAAGTCCTTCACCAAAGCTACTCTAATCCCTCAAAGGAAGAGTAGCAATCAAACTCCCTTCAAGATCACCTGTGTGAAGGTATTTCTTAATCCTTAGACATTTTCTTAGGAATTTAGATAGGTATTAAAATAATGCATGCACGGTTGTAAAAATTGTCCCCCACTCTTCCTTTGGTCATTTTGTACCTCTGTTTAAAACTTGATGACATTTAAACCCTTATATCAATAGCTTAAAAAGAAAAAGGAGGTTTTTGGTTTTCTATTACCTTATGAGGAAGACGTAATCACGATCGTTTTTTCATTACATTTGATTTGGATGGTCGTGATCTTGTCGTTCTAAGCTATGTCCATCAAATACTTACTTAATCAATATACAATGGTTCTATTATTGTTTCTCTAGTCAATGATTGTTTTGCAATGTGTTGAATAAAATGAAATGCATAAATTAATGGATGTTTGGTTTATACATTTATACAAGAACAATATATGTGCCATGCATTAGCAATACATAGAAAGTGTAGCGTAAATTGCTAGCTCTGTAGTTGGATAGAAAGTGTAGTGTTATAACCATTGTTAAATCTGATTAATCTACCCAACCAAAATCCTTGGGATTTCAAAATAGGTTAATGAGTTCGACGTGACATTGATCCGCCCTATATTCATTCAAACCGAACCTGCCCGCTAGTAACGTGAATGACCTGAACTCAATTCTTTAATCTTTTTTAGTTAAATCTTTTTATAACTTATCAACTATAAATTTTATATCGTTTGATAAAAAATAAGTTCATACATACAAGTTAAAGAATTTAAAGAAAAAAATATCAAACGGGACATTTTCGAGATAAAAGCATGTTCACGGGTCAACACAAACCCAACCCTTTTAAAAAACATGTTGGAATTCCAGACCTAAACACAACCCTTTTATTGCACAAATCAATATAAATTCAGATTTTTTTGGGCAAATTATAGAAAGGAGCAGGTTGAAAATGTCATTAAGTAAAAGGAGAATAATTAGTAAAATATTTTTAAAAAGAACAAATTTATCAAATTATTTGGCGTAGTCCTAAATACGCCAAATGATTATTTGGCAAATTTCGAATATGACAAATCATTTCGGAGTATTCATCTAAAGAAGGAGAGAGAAATGGGTAGGAGAGAGAGATGGGGAGAGAAGATAAATGGTGTGAGAGACAGAAAAATTAGGTAGAGAGAGTGTGGAGTGAGAGACGGATGGGAAGAGAGAATGAGATTTTTAAATATTTTTTTATATTAAAAAAATTAACTAACATTTATATGGTTAAAATTTTTTAAGAATCTATTATCACTATTATGTTGTTATTTAAATAATATTTTTAAAATATTAGTTAAATATTATTTTAGATATCAAAAAAGTTATTTAAATATTAATTTTTTAAATTAATTTTAAATTTTCAAATAATTTTTATACGAACCCAAGTTTACCTTTTCACTATTAACCCGTTCGCTAAGCTAACGCCGGAGGACTTTGCTGGTGAGAAGCCATCTTGGACGCAGGATCATTGTCGGATGCCACTCACCATGGTTCTATCGCAAAGGTGTTTTATGCCGACGCTTATTTGCCTGCCCTTGATTTTTTTATTGGGCTCATCCGCTCTAATTTGAAGTAAATTGTTGTACGCAAACCTTTCGTTGATGAGCTTGATCTCTTTGTTACCTCAGTCGGGAAATCTGTTACCTCCTCAAGGAATAGGCTGAGAAAAGATGCGGGTTTTAATGTCTTTAGGGCATTTGAATTGAATTGACGGGTAATTGGAGGGTTGAATCATGCTATAGGACTGTTTGGAGGGTATATTGTATGAGAAGCTTGCCTGCTTGATTTTTCTTTTCATTTCTTCAGTTCTAATTTTTTTTGGACAGCCCACTTCTTTTGAATTCTCGCTATCTTGTTTTCTCTTTTTGGATAATTTGTCCCATGCTTGTATGGCCACA